GTTGTTGTCATTGTCAAGTAGCAGAGTCATCGTGTTGTTGGTAAAGGGTATGCAATAAGATTTGTAGATTTGATTGTTTGTTGTTTTGTTGTCGTTGTTGTATTGCAATGTATACAAGAAGAGCAGAAAGAAAAATATGTTTGGCTTGGCTTTTAAACTAAAATACAAAAATTAAACAAAAAAAAAACAAGAAAAGACAACATAAACAATTTTTTTTCTTGATATTTCCCATGCGTATGTGAGGTTGGAAAAATTACCAAAAAAAGGGAAGTAGAACATGAAGAGTATATGTAGATAGGACAGAGAGAGAGAGAGCGGGTGTATAATTTCAACAGGATAGGTAACAGGCGCTACGAAAAGCATTTCTAAAAGCAATATGAAGGAGGGGAAGTAGCGTTTAGGTTTAAGGACTTTAAGCACGGCGCTTACTGCTGAGCTAACATATATTTTTGTTGCCATGGCTGTTTGCAGTACGTAATAAAAATGTTGAACAACAGCCAAAAACAAATTTGATATATATTTATAATATTTTGACAAATTCTGGCGACAGACACTGTCACTGAAACAGACACGAACGCATCGCGAAAAATATGGCAATAATTTTTCAACACGTTCATCAACATCAGCATCAGCATCAGTGGCGTCATTATCATCATTGCCATTAAAAACAACAACGAGAAAATTTTGTCTCTTCTTGTATAAAAGGAAAACGGATAAGAAGAATTTCGATTTTTACCCTCAGCATCGTAGGCGACTTCGGTGGGGCGTGGTCCCCAGCGACCGGCTTTGACAGGAGTGGGACTTGGCGAGCCGGCGCGCTCAAAAATCGAAGGCCTAGTGGCAGCTGCTACATCGGCCTCGGCATCGGCCGGGGCCACAGAAATAGTTGGCAACTTACTTTCAAAGAGTTCATCCAACGGCTCCAGCGAGCTGGCACGGAAGCTTGGCCGCGTGAACGGAGCCAAGCTGGTGGCCCGATCGAACACCGATGGTCCACCACGTGGCACGCTGCTCTCACGGTTCCAGTAGACTGGCGGAGGCACGTAGGGCTCGCTGCCAGCCCGGCTCGTGCGGCTGGGACGGAACGGCGAGGCCGAGCGGCGTGCTGCAAAATATCAGAAATAATTCACAAATATATAATGCTATAGTACGAGCCAGCACTCAAGTTGCCTCAACGATAATACGTTTCCTGAAATTTTCATTTCCTAGAAGATGATAGCTTTCTATTAATTTATGAAAAATAACCTCATAAATTAAATGGATAGAATCTTAACCTTTGCCCCCTTATAAATATCAACCGCCTGGAGAAAGCTCAACTAGAAAATGCCCTCAATGTGTTACTAGTAACTAACACTTGCTAAGGTGCATATACATATAAATTATATAACTAAAACTCGTAATATTAACGAGATTTATTCAACTAAAAATGGCGTTATATTGATTTCACTATGTAATCAAACTTTATCGTACAATGGGATGATAACCTACGTATAAGATTGGAAATCCATATGACATAGAATCAAATAAATAAATGTAGTCCATATGAAGACCAATGTATAGAATTATCTATTTAGCTAATTTAGAAAATATATATACTTTAAAAGGATAATCCCACTCGCTCTGCATAAGACGCGCTCACTATTCCTTTTAGATGAGTCGAGACAGAAGCTCAAGATTAAATATATTGCTATTACTAGAGTGAGCAAGCAAGAGGAATTGCCAACACCTCAAAGAATGTCAGAATATAAATTTAAGTCACTTTAGCCAGCTAGTTGTATACTAAGAGCTGCGAGGCACACACAAACGAATGGAGACGTGAATAAAAATGTGCTCTCTCCTGTTGATAAGGGAACCTCTTTGACAATGCCTTTGACATGTTTGCTTATTTTTCTCCACATTTCTAGCTAAGTAAGCTCAGAGGTCTTTTGACTACGTCAAAGAAGTGTGTGCACGGCACTTTTTCTGAGAAGAATATAAGAATATATTCAGTTGAGTGGCTCTGCTCTGTGGACTGCGAGCGTCGTTCACATTAATCAAATGCATCGCTTTGTCATTGCAGTTGCAGTCGTATTAGAATTGACATTAGAAGAACGCTAGTACTTACCAAATTAGTTACCAAACAAAACCAACCCAAAAGCAACCCAACGATGATTTCAGACATATATCGAAACCCTTAACAACACACTCACCAAAATACATAGTACAAAATTACAAAACTGTGGGCACGAAACAATTTGGTTTGAAATTTTTGATACAACAATTCAATGCATGTTTCACATTCATATTTATGCAATTTGCATTTCAACGGAGTACTGCCAAACGAGAATTTTTAAATAAGTTGAATACATTGAACATACGATGATTCGTTAAATATTTCATTTGATTTTAAGGTTTAGTCTTTTAAGTATTGGCAGTTTATTTACAGGCACCGCACAGTGTATGTATCTATGTTCTTTTTTAGTAGTTGGAAGCTGGGAGGGCGACGAAGAGATGATATAGACGAACGCACTAGTGGACGAGGGACAACAGATAGTATTAATCAAATTACAGAAATAAAAACAAAAAATACTTTTTAAAAATTAATCAAAGTAGTTAATTAATCAAAATAGGCAAACACGACAGAAAAACTCATTTGTCGACAAAAATTATATGCAAAACACAGTTTGTTTGTATTTCAAAGTTTTTATTGATTAATTCCTTTTGTAATAATCTAAAGTTTCGCTCGGAGTAATGAGTTCAGTTCATATAAACTTCCAGCTATATACACATAGATATGCATGAAATTGCATACAGCACATACTTATATATGTATATATTGAGCTCACATTTATCTATGGTACAGCTGTTAGAAAAAAAGTGGTTAAGGCTTAAAGTAGTTGAATGTGGACTTTGGGTTTTAATGATGGGATCGAGTGAGCTGACATGATGCAACCGGAAGTTAAAATGTTTAATATATATTGAGAGATATATGAATGCTTATAAATTTTAATCGATGATATCTGCTGAGTATGTCTAAATTAAAATTAGCATTTGTTTTTATTTTAAATTGTTTTGTTTGGTTTTATTACTTTCGTTGTTTTTTCTCATGTTGTATAAATAAGTTAAAAATAAAAATTAAGTAAAGCATCATATCATACAATGAAACATTTAACGAAATTATTTTGTTTTGTTTTTCATTTACTATATTGGGGCTGGATTCTTTTTACAGACATATTATCATATCATTAACAATTTCTGCATAATTTTACAATTTACTAAAGCTATGCCAAAACAAAAGCCTTTAACCAGTTAGCTTTTCTCGAATGTAAACGCTCAGCGCTTCAAACTTGAATTGCTGCAAGATATAGTATATACGATACAGAGTTAAAGACATATAGTTCGATCGGGCAGATACTCGAATTTAGAAATCGTCAAATGGAAACTTGAACAAAGCGAATTTCTTGGGTTAAAAAATTAGCTTGTCAAGTTTCGAATTGGTGTTTCATGTAGTTATTGTTGTTGTTTTTAATGTCTGTAAATTTGAGTGAATTTGAAAAAATTCTGTTGTTGCTTTTGCTTTGTTTCGAATAGATGTTCGCTATTTTTTTCGTGCTTACATTTTGTAATTTTCTGACATTTTTACAAATCATTTTTTTAAGTATTTGGATTCGATTAATTAAATTTTAAATTTCGTAGATTTTCATATAAATGTTGATGTTGTTGTTGTTGTTGTGTTGGTTACTCAATTTGTTGATGTTCTTGAGTGTTTTTTTTTTTTTTGACGTATTTAGAAAATGTCTTTGATATCCTTACCCTTGTTGAGTTCAGCCAACAGCTTATCCTCTGGCTCGTATTCCAAAGGCACCAAAGAGTTTGGTGTGAGTGGCTTGTCTCTCAAATAGAGACCATAGCGAGATGGGTATCTGAAAATATGAGATGTTTGGTTAGGTCCCTTATATGATTATCAATAATATGCAAAAATCATCCCAATGAGAGCTTTATGAATATTCTAATCACAGGCTACCTATCTATATATTAAAAGATATATACTTTGATTGTCTACAGAAGCAGGTGAACTCATAAATAAATTATTTTGTTTACACTGACAGATAAGTGCAAGTATTTCAATTGAGGTTCAATCTACATTTAAAGTGTTATGTAATATATGTCTACACACCTGCGCTCGATTTCTTGCATGCGCTTCAAATGATCATTCCATGCCTTCTCTGCATCGTAATTAGCTGGAACTGTGGAAAGAAAGTATTCATATCAATATACAGGTGTACTAAAATCGATATTGAAATACAGCTATCGAAAAGCAAAAGCAGGCAAATTTGAACGTAACTCAAACAACGATTTCAATATGCTTACATTTGAAGGCAGAATAAGAGTTTATTAAAATCTATTAAGTTGGGGCTCGAAGCGTTTTGCGTTTGCGTATGCATTTAATTCCCATTTGTCAATAAAAGCAGTTGGATATACGTACGATATTTATCCAATTAAAGCGGGGTTTAACAAAAAATAGTCAGCAGAAAAGAAACAAAAATTGAAAATATAATATTAAAAAAGTTGCATTTGAACTAAATAAGCTTTGGGAATGGAAAAGTCATGAATATGAAATCAAATGAAGCTTGAATTCGGAATACGATACAAAATACCTTGTGAGTCTCATGAATGTTAAATGCATTATTAAAAAATAACGTTTTCCACAGCGAAAGAAATTGTTTTCAAAATAAAGTTTAATATTTTTTATTGAATTTCAGCCAACAGAGGAACTATATAAGAAACAGGGCTATAAATCATTCTGAATATTATACTGCACACAGCTACGGCTACAGATTCTTCTTTTAATATTTACTAAACATATTGTATATATATATAACTAAATGTTGATTTTGTCTAGAGAGAAAAGATTCGTAGTGCGCTGCGTTGAGGCATATACATATGTATATATGTATATGTATGTTATATATTTGTTATAAATATATTTTCTTAAAATCTTTTTTTCTATTTTTTCTTTGTCGATAAACATTTATGTTTTTTCTGAAACATTTTGTGAGAAAAAAGAAAGAAAGAAAAAATTGGTTAGTTCCGAAAAATAAAAAGTATATTTGACTGTGAGGGTACCAGGGATGTGTGTAGGGTATTAAATAAATAGAGCAGGGGAATGGACAAATTATCAACAATCGCGAAATTGTTAAAGAAACAGAATGTGTATCTAAAATTGTGTGCCTCAGTTATTTGATCCGGAGCACGCATGAGCAAATAGAAAATGTTCTCCCAAGCCTTATGTATACCGCTATATAGTATGTATATATAAATATCCATCGGAGTATCTCCGCATGTATCTGTGTGTGTGTGTTTACCAGCAGAAAGCTTATGAACATGTGTATATTTTGCCTACAACTTTTGTGGGCCTTTGCCAAAAAGAAAAGAGAAAAAGAATTAAATACTAAAAATCATTGACGTAATTCTATTTTGGCTGTGCGGCGGTTCTTTCATTTTCATCTCTTTTATTATTTATATAATTATGAAATCATAGAGAAAAATGTAGCGTAATTTTAGCAGACCGTCAGCAATTCAAGGTGTGCTGCAGGGCGAATGCAAATGGATGATTGACATATGCAATGATTGAAATGTGTTGACCGTTCGACTGAGTCATCAAATCAAAAACTCTGACAAAGTCACGTCTGCATCTGCGCTGAATGATGGGTTGAAGAAGAATGGAAAATCAGTAAATAATATATTGATAGTTAGACTAGAACTCAGTCAAATACTTTTCTCCACACTATTAATAATTGTGATTGGTTGATTGATGGATACATGAAGAGGCTGATCCATAAATTAACTAGCAGTTAACAATTCAGTCTTCAGGATAAGATGATTGCGATATGCACTGATTGATGGCATGATTGAGCCATGAATGAAAGTAAAGTAAAGTAATCAATCAAAGCTCATAGGCAAAAGAGTTGTGCGGGTTACTGTCGCTGTTGCTGTAGGAAAAGTAGTAGTACTTAGAGTAACGGCTCATTCAGCGGGCCAACTTACTTGTTCTGCTGTAATGATGATCGTAGATGGCACGTGGCGAGTAGCCGTAGGTGTCGCGGCTCACTGGCAAGTATCTGTAGCCAGATGACTGAACGCGCTCGTTGGCCGTTGCGGGCTCATCGTAGATGCTCCTGTATGTGGGCGAATCCAGGTACGAGCTGTATGGGCGAGATGCTCTTGGCGCTTCATGGGCACGAATATCCTCGGAGCCTATGGAGTGTTTGGAAACGAATCAAATATTAATGCACATTTCTATATACACTACTATTATTCGCCTTACTTCATAAGGCTTTTCTGAATTTTTGCGCTATTTCAGCCATTTGGCTCATTGCCAAAAAATTGATTTCATTTTATTTTTTTTCTTTTCGTTTTTCATTTCATTCTTTTGTATTCCCAATATGAGCGCCTAGTTATTTTGCCTTGGCGCAACAGCCGCATTTTTTCGCTTTGTTTGGCTCATGAGCACATAGTTAAAATATTTTCAATATGCATATATAAAAGAGATACATATATTTAAATATAATTTCGAAAAAAAGCTCTTCACATTTATGGGACTGTGAGTGTAGCTTTTAAAAGTGACACCTGCCAAAAAATAGACCAACATTCTATATGCTGCTGAGCTATTTATGTAGCTACCAGTTCTATAATACTTTTCATAGGCTGCTTCTCTCAAAATACAATACAATAGATGCTAGCTGCCAGAGATACTACTGATAGTTTTGAACATATATCATTCAGTACACTTACCCTTCAGGGATCTGATGTAGGATTGCCAGAATTTGGCCTTCTTGCTGGGGCTCTCATTGCGCCCAATCATTTCCAAATGGTTTTTGAACATTTTGATCGATTTGTTTTGTGTCTGTCAAGCACAAGAAATATTCGTTGAACTCGTTCGCTGCAATACCAAAAAGTTTATCAACTTTATTAACAATTTCTTTTATCTATTGTTTATTTTTTGTAATTTGTATTTTTTGTTGTTGCTTGCACTTTGCACCAGTTTTAAACAGCTTTTCTTTATTTTTTGGTGTTGATTTTGGTTTTGTTTCTTTTCTGTCAACGCCTAAATTTACGAATCTGAATTTTGTATCGCACGTTTTGGCTCTGTAGTCGATCGTTCAAATGTCAACACGCACGAGAGAGTTGTTTTCCTCCTAGAGGTGGCTGATGTACAAATCTTGGCTGACTCGGCGCTTTTGCTCAGTTCGAAAATAAACAGACTGTGTGCCACTTAACGGCAGAGCAAAGTATTCAACAAAATTTTATAAAATAGTTGTCTGCTTGTATATATATATTTATACAATATATCTATTCACAACAAGATCAATCACTAAAAATAAATGTATTTCTCAAATAATATCGTCAGCATTATACATATATGCGCTTGTATGTATATACATATCATAAAATCTATATACATTTATTTCTCACACTCTCTATAAATACATACATACTTGACTAGCAAAATTCTATATACATGGCTATATATTTGTGTGTAGTGTGTGCGTGTATGCGTGAGTGTGAGTGTGATGAAGATCGGCGCGAGCTGCAGCTAAATTTGCGTTATTTATAAATGTCCTTGAGTTGAATTTTTCCTGACAAAGCAGACGACGCCAAAGTTCTCAATTCAATTATATCGAATTTGATTATTCTTTCAAAAAAATCGTTTTCGGTAGTTAAGCCAGATTCAAAATATTATGTGCCTTCATTTTATAATTTTTACGATTATTAATTAAAGTTTAAATTCTATTAGAAAATTATGTTTAACATTTAGATTCGGATCAGATTTGACACTTCACAATTGCTTTGCTAATTTGCAATCAACTTCATTAATGTTCACTTGGTATCAAATGTCTTTAGCTCTTATATAATCAGCCATTGGCATTGTCATATTTTGTCATAATTCCATTTTGAAATGGAACCAGTTTAATGAGGGCGGGCAGATCACGTTTTCAATTCGAAACTATATACACTTTGTTGATTGCTCGACACAATAATTGTTCAGTAGTAGTGTTATTGTTCCATATTTCATTTTTTATTTAAACTGATATGTATTTATAATTATGCATTCGTTTGCTCATATTCTATTAGAGTTGATTATTTTTGATATGGCTTACAATTTGCTTTACTCCTAAAAAATAGCGATCTATCCTCAACGAAGAATTTTTTCAAACTGCAAACCATTCAAATTTCGCCTCACCAATTTTACTCGTTTCACCATTTGCCATTTGTTTCACAAAAAAGCACGATATTCCTTTACGGCGTAGGTAGCCGATCTCTATATATCTATGTCCAAACCTCGACGACCGAGTATGCGTGCGTGTGTGTATTTCAGTGTACAAATGTGTGTGCGTATGCGTGTGTGTGGCGAAAAGCTCAGCAAGTTCGGCTATAGCTTTCAGCCGATATCTCGGTGGGTAGTCGAGGGCGTCAGCGCCCACTCATTGTTGTGGATTCAAAGACGATGACGGCGGTGCTCACAAAAAGAAAAGCCCATATTAATTCATACACACACACACACACCCTGCGACCAAAAACCACATTTCATACCGTAATATCTGCTCTTTGTCCGACTCTAACATAGATATATATTTTCGTATTTTTGTACAATTTTCTACATACTTGGTCCCATTCATATTTACGCTCTTAAATCATTCAGAACAACATTATCCATAGGAAACTACGTCAATTGTGATATTGAACTGAGCATTGAACTTGGTTTTGATTCATTTTCAATTAGAGTTCAATATTAAACTGTTTGTTTAATGTATTTTTGCTTAAATACAGCAATTCCATTCTCTTTAGAGGATAGGAAGTGTGTTAGTTTAATGTAAAGATTGCATAGTAAATTTATTCAAATTAAGATAAACATTATTCAGGAAATGCCCATTGCTATATGCAAAATAAAGAAAAGGAAAGCTCTTCTTTTCATTAACTGAGTTAGACTAAGCAGATGTGAATTATGAGGGAAGTCTATATACTAATGCAATGTCTAAAGATACTCGAAGCTATAGACATATACGTGTATATACATATGTGTATAAAATACAATAAATAATCTTAACGCTCTAATCAATTTCTATTATAAGAAAAAGTAATTTGTCCTAATCCTCTATCTTAAATTTTCTTTTTCGGGAACTTTTCTGACTACTTTTGCATACGATGTTTATTGCAATTTAATTTAATGTTTATTTCAGCATTTTCATGTATTTTTACATGAGTGCATTTTGCTGATACAGCGAAATACCTGTACATGCTAATTGAAATTGGAATTTGAATGCCAGACCGAAGGCTCCATGTGGTCAATAAATAAATAAATTACCCCGTGCGTAAACTAAAAGTCCACAATTCAGAATAAACAAAGCAAATTCGCTGAAAACACAAACAGGAAAACCATCTACAGCAAGTCGAATGTGGGCGTAGGTGACATCCGATCTAAAGACAAAAAAATATCTCAACCAATCTCTGACTAAAAAAATATTTTTATGTATAGTAGCCTGTTTGACCTTCCAGTTGACAGTTAATATAATGGTCTTAACTTAATGCCCAGTTTCCAATTTAGTTCTTTATATAGAAAATATAGTAAACAAAATTCAATTTGCGTCAATTTCCATGTTTCAAAAATGCGGTTGCAACTGCAATGGACTTTGCACCTGTTTGTTTACGTTATGTAAGGCAGAATATCTGGTTTTCCCTTAAGTAAATAAATATACAAATGGTTCTGGCACAACTTGTGGACTTGATCTTGACTTTGTGGGCAAGAACACCTAAGGCGAAAAAAAAAAAAACAAAACAAAAACAATTGAACAATAAAAAGAGAGGAAAAACGTTTGGGAAATACCTGGCAAAGAGCTCAATTGGCAAATCGAATTGTAAATTTCACCTATTAAAAGTTTCGTATTAAAAATCGTTTCAACTTTTACTTTCTGGCACACATTCGAATTGGCCAAGTGCAACAATTTGGTTTCATTTTTGAAAATGCCAGAAGAAAAGCAAAAACACAGAGCCAAATCGAAACTAAAAGTAGTTTAATTACTTTGATGTTCATCTAAATGCCAAGTACAAATGGGTTTCACTTAAATGCCCTTAAATGGCCATCTATATCACTTCTATAAGAGAATAGAATAGAAATTCTCGAATGTGACTGCATGGCCAAATTCCTCTATAAACCAAAATTGAATGGCTTTTGGCTAACGTCTTTTTTCTAATTACAAACAAATTGTGTAATTTGTATACTTTTGTTTGCGATTATCTACTATATAATTCATCGTCATTTAAAATTCTTATATTTCTGGTACTTAAGCAAGATCTTAAAAATACATTAACACAGTATTTTAGATATATAACTATTCGAGTATATAAGTATTCAATTTTTGGTATGATATGAACGATTTTTTGGGTATTCAATGCTGTTTTCAGCATAGTTAAATGTGGTATACAGATCTATGCCTATTTGAGGTGAGAAAACTACAGATATCTTTGCAGAAAGAACACCAATGTGAAAATTATAAATTATGCTGAGCTGTCAAAGATTGATGCCTCGAAGGACCAGATGAAGATTGATGAGGATTGGGATTTTTGAATAACTCTGATTATTAAGATGAAACAAGCTGATCTGATCTTAGTTGCAACGAAATCTATTTAAAGCCTTCAATCATATTTCTTTGAACGAACAGCATTCATATAAGTAAATATAAATTATGTCTATTGTTATGGAGAATGGGTTACTCAAGTGTCCCAATTATCGATCATTTTGACATCGAGGATGGTCGCAAAATGCAAAACAAATTTTAGTTGGGGAAACAAATGTAAAATATTATTGATAACAAAAGTGGCTGAGTAAAATACATCTGACCCCATACGTTCACTGTTTGAGGCTTTGACCCCGTAATTATTAAAGTCATCTGAAGATATTGCTCCCATTTTGGGTCGAGTACCATCAATAAAATGGCTGACTCAGGCAGTTCGCTTCAGGGCAAAGCTTTAATATACGTTTC